CTTGCTAGCAAGAGGGAAGATGGCTGACTAATGTCTGAAAAAAACCATCTTAAGGGACACAAAATCTTACAGCAGTTATATAAGCTGGTGGGTTATTGGGGAGGGGGTTAGGAATGTTGACCCTCTGGTGTTACAGACTGGGAGTGCCACCCCAGATCTTCCAGTTTTCATTGATGATGGCTCTCAGCATAGACTCTCTGTTTGGGGGTCATCATATTCCTAAGGAACTCAAAAGAACAAAGTGATCATCTTATCGCAGCTGAGAGGTACATGCACAAGTAGGGGGTCCTAAAATCTACGGAGCAATTAGATCCCCTGGAGGGTGCATACCCAGCTGGGTCAGTTTGTCAGAGGTCATTCAAAGTTACAATAGGGTTTCTTTTCTACAACATGGCTTCCCTCATGTCAACCTTGTCTTGAGCCGGTATCATTTACATCCACGGCAAGGAGGATTTGAGTAAAATCAAGTTGCCAGTCCTCTCCAGGCTAGGACCTGAAGGCTTCTATCCATCCTGTAAAGGTATCTATAAAGATCAAAAGATATTTATGTCCACGGCAAGGAGGCATTGGAGTAAAATCAAGTTGCCAGTCCTCTCCAGGGTAGGTGCCATGCCTTTGTACGGGCCAAGACAGGGGAGGCGGCTTTAAGCCTCCCTCAAGGTTTCTTTAGTGCACAAACAGGTAGCACAGGCTCGACAAACCTGTTTTATAGTAGAAATTAGTCCCAATCCATCAAAAAATTTGCCTCTTAATTGTGTCAGGGAATGTTTGCCCCAATGAGTAGCCTGGTGAATCCCATTAACCAGCTCCCATTGTCATTCCTTGGGCACAAAGAGCTTTCCTAATGGGTTTTTAAACCAAGACCATTGGCTCTGAAGTGTCCTGCAAAAATCCTTTTTCCTGTGCTAAATTTCTTTCTTTTTCAGTATATCTAGGAACAATATTACCTAGACCAAGGGGACTGGGAAGAAGGGCGAGAAGGTAGTCTCGTTTTGCCACTCGTTTGGCCTCAGCATCAGCAAAATTACTTCCCTGGCTTCCAGATCTAAAATGACTTTGTTTCTGGCCAGACATAAAGCCCTATGGCTCAAGGTGATCTTGATACCAAACCTCTTAATCTCAAGTTTGTGTGCCCGATGCCCAGCAAGCCAAACACTGAGACATCAGTGCTTGGAGATGAGAAAGAGTTATTCGAATTGGCCAAAATGAGTTAAGGTGGGAGCCCAGGTTCTCTCAAATCCACCTCCTCTGGAACAGAAAGCAGGGGGGTTTTATGAGCTAAGGGACTTGGCAGGAGGGGCTTCAGGGAAACAAAGGGGTCACTCCCGATAAGCCTCTGGGCAATCTGACTTCTGGGCTTCAACAGCTGCTGAGGGTTGGCCATCCATCAATCCAGTGATTGGCCATCTGGTGATCTCAACCTCCCCAAAGGCATTTCTCTTTCTTCTGCAAAACAAGCTCACAAATCCTCAAGACCCCTGAGTCACCCCTCAAGTTAAACAGGAAAAAACAGCAAATTGGTTTAATATCTACAGTACCCCTCAGATACCCAGCTTTAACCCCCACTGTCTTTTTTCCCTTCCTGATTCTTGTAGGGAGCAGGGTGTCGATCCTTCTGGCTACTTCCTGCTGAAAGGGGGCAAAGATGGGGAAACGGAGGAAGGCAAGTTTTCAACCTGAGATTGAAAATACTTTCGAGTACTGGGCTATATTTTGCTTTTTGCATTATCATTACTTGAGATTCCATATTTGACTAACCCAAATTTCCAGAACCCAAAATGCAAGAACCCAATTGGGCTTGCTTATCTGACTGTTTAGTGTCGGCTGTCTGAACCTGGAACAGCAGCTTAAGGTCTTTCAGGGGCTCACAAGACCAGTGTTTTCTTTTCAGTTTCTGAGTGCTCTGGCAAGCCTCACTCAGGTGTGATGAATCCACGGCTTGACTCCGGCCAATTTGACTGATGAAGGGGTGGTCAGGAGGACTTCATAAGGCCTGGTCCACTTGGGGGTTAGTTGATCCTCTAGTCCACGCTCCTTCCAAGACTTAAGGAGAACCTAGTCACCTGCCTTGATGTGGTGGAGTGGAACATCTGATGGGAACGGGGACCTGTGAGGTGAACTCATGAACAAAAGCTAGAATCTCATTTAAAAATTTTAAGTGCCACCTGACCGCTATTTCCTTCTGCTACATGGATCCTCCACAGGGCAGAGGGCAACACCTTATCCCAGGTTATGTTAGCTTCTGACAGATTTTGGCAATCATTTTCTTTAATGTGTGGTTCATCTTTTCAGTCTTTCCTGCCAACTGGGGCTGCCGTGAAGTGTGGAGTTTCTAAGTGATCCCCAAGGCTCTCGATACTTCCTGGGTTATTTAGGAGATAAATGCGGCTCTGTTGTCACTCTAGATCGACAGTGGGAGTCCATACCTGAGAATGATCTCCTTTAGCGAAACTTTGGTCACTTCGGTGGCCTTCTCAGTTCTGGAAGGGAAAGCTTCAATCCACCCTATGAAGGCATCTACGAATCCTGACATTCCCAGAGGCGCAAGGCATCATAATAGAGACCACTTGCCAGTCCTCACAGAGGGCTGCTCCTCGATGTTGAATGCCCTTGTCCAAGGAGGGCGGCCCTGTCCTGGGATTGTTTTTGGCACAGATGAAACACATTGTTGGGTAACTTTCTGAATGGTCACTTGCAAATTTGGACCAATTAAATACCTTTTGGATCCACTGCAAGGTGGCATCCCTCCCATAGTGATTAACAGTTTCTCCCAGAAGGGCTTCAGGTACCAGGATGAGTCCTTCCCAGTTATGTTTCCAGCCAGGATGCTCCAGAGAGCAGGAGTCGAATCCCCATCCTCTGGCTCTCTCTAAATCTTTCAGGGTGGAGCTAGGCTGGAATTTAGCAAAGTCAATCTGGGGAACTAAGGGAGCCGGGAGTGTCTCAAACTCATAGTCCTAGCAGCAGTCTTTGCTGTCTGATCGGCCTTTTTTGTTTGTTTGTTTTGTGAGGAAGATCAGCCCTGAGCTAACATCCATGCCAATCCTCCTCTTTTTGCTGAGGAAGACTGGCCCTGGGCTAACATCTGTGCCTACCTTCCTCTACTTTATATGGGACGCTGCCACAGCATGGCCTGACAAGCGGTACATCGGTGACCGCCCGGGATCCTAACCTGGGCTGCCAGCAGCGGAGCATGCGCATGCCCCTGCTATGCCCCCGGGCTGGCCCCTGATCAGCCATTTGATTACCTCTGGCTTCCAAAGTGTCCCCTTTCTGATATCCAGGGCAGTGCATGGTGGCTACTGCCACGGGGTCATTAATGGCCTCTAATAACGTCAATATTTCCCTCTTAACAGTGGTCGAGTCACCTCTCTTTCCATGGCCCCATGGATATGGACCACTAAAAAGGCATATTTTGAGTCTGTACTCTTTTTTTTTTTGTGAGGAAGATCAGCCCTGAGCTAACATCCATGCTAATCCTCCTCTTTTTGCTGCGGAAGACTGGCCCTGAGCTAACATCTATTGCCAATCCTCCTCCTTTTTTTTTTTCCCCAAAGCCCCAGTAGATAGTTGTATGTCATAGTTGCACATCCTTCTAGTTGCTGTATGTGGGACGCGGCCTCAGCATGGCCAGAGAAGTGGTGCGTCAGTGCACGCCCGGGATCTGAACCCGGGCCACCAGTAGCAGAGCGCACGCACCTAACCGCTAAGCCACGGGGCCAGCCCTGAGTCTGTACTCTTTTGTCTTGACTTTTTTGAAGAACCCTAGTTAGGGCTATAAGCTCAGCCTTTTTTTGTGTGTGTGTGTGAGGAAGATTGGCCCTGAGCTAACATCTGCCAATCCTCCTCTTTTTTCTGGGGAAGATTGGCCCTGGGCTAACATCCATGCCCATCTTCCTCCACTTTATATGGGACGCTGCCACAGCATGGCTTGACAAGCAGTGAGTCGGTGCGTGCCCAGGATCCGAGCCGGTGAACCCCTGGCCGCTGCAGCAGAGTGCGCACACTTAACCACTTGCGCCACCGGGCCGGCCCCAAGCTCAGCCTTTTGAGCTAAGGTAGCTGGAGGTAGAGCCTTCGCTTCCATGGCGTCCTGTAGGGTGGACGACTGCTCGAGGTTGTCCCTGGTCCCTGAAGCTGCTTCCATCAGTGAACAGTTCCAAGTCCTGCTGCTCCAACAGTTGGTCAATCAAATCAGGTCAGCTCGAGAACACCTGTAGCTAGCAGGGTTGCAGGGTTTAAGACAGAAATAGTCTTTAAGGGGCCGGCCCCGTGGCTTAGCGGTTAAGTGCGCGCGCTCCGCTGCTGGCGACCTGGGTTCGGATCCCGGGCGTGCACTGACGCACTTCTTCTCTGGCCATGCTGAGGCCGTGTCCCGCATACAGCAACTAGAAGGATGTGCAGCTATGACATACAACTATCTACTGGGGCTTTGGGGGAAAAATAAATAAAATCTTTAAAAAAAAAAAGAAATAGTCTTTAACTTTACCTCTGGGTTGTCTAATAAAATAGCCTGATCCTCTTTTCTGTTCTAATAAATGGACGACACAATGGGGAGTGTGCACCGTGGTGAGCTGCCCCAGTGTGTACTTTTTGGCTTCTCGAAGTATGTCACAGGTGGCAGCAATGGCTCAGAGGCAAGATGGCCATCCTGACTGTCTGATCCAAGTGCTTAGAAGAATAGGCCAGAGGCCTCTGGGTCAAGACTCCCAAACTAAGGCCCTGTTTCTCATGTATAAAAAGATCAAAGGGCTTTCTCAAATCTGGGAGTCCCAAGCCTGGGGCAGTTAACAATTTTCCTTTAAACTGACTGAACGCATTCTGGCACTCTTGTGTCCACATCCAAGGCTGGAGTTCTCTTCCCTTTAAGACCTCATTTAGAGTTTTAGAATTAATCTGAAGTTGGGCATCCAAATTCGGCAGAAACCTGCCGTTCCTAAAAGTCCCCACAATTGTCCACAGGTAGTGGGAGTGGCAACTCGGCCACTGCTTCCCTTCTGTCTGGGAGGAGGCTTCTCTGTCCTTCTGACAGTTCAAACCCTAAGTATTTAACAGTCTTTTAAGATATTTGTGACAGTATCTCCCTGGAGATAGCATCAGATCCCACAAGATTACCCTTTGCCTCCCATGTTAGATACCAGTTGCAAGTCCATGTTGTCACCTGCGCTTCTGACCAACCGGTCACAGACCAGAGGATCCCAAGACTCCCCTCCCTTGGGTTTGATAAAACATTTTGATAGGTTCACAGAACTCAGGAAAACATTTTACTTAACAGAATAACAAAAGACACCCATTTTACCTTTATTGCATAGAACAAGGTATGTGGGAGAGGGACGTGGAGCTCCCAAGCTCTCTCTGGGGGTGCTACTCTTCCCAAATCTCTCTTCAGCCCCTCTCCGCACCTTGGAGGTGTAGGGAGCCGGATGGGCTGAAAGTTCCAACTCTCTAATCACACAGTTGGTTCCCTTGGCAACCAGCCCCTGCCCTTAGGGGCTTTCCAAAAGTCACCTTATTAACATAAATTTAGGTGTGTTTGAAAGGGGCTTGTTATGGATAACAAAGGACACCCATTTCACCTGTATTGCTCTGGAGCTGAGAACTGAAGTAATTTATTATAACAAAGGATGCCCCTATGGCTCTTATATTGGAAGTTCAGCATTTTGATCCTATTTCACAGGTCAAGGGCTCCAGAGACCTTTTGGTCTCTCCTTTTCCTGATACCCCTTTTATGTCACACTTTCTTTTAGAAAGGTTTCCATTTTGGGCATTCAACACCGAGAATATGGCTCCAGCATTGAGCAAAAATTCAATATGCTCTCCTTCTACTGCCAAGGTCACCCAGGGCTCCTGGAGCCAAGAGGGGAGCCCCACAGCCCCGTCACATCTCATCTGTGGTCAAAGGATGTTGGCATGACCTAGTCCCGTTCAATCCCTTCTCTGGAGACAGTTTGGACAGTCCCGCCGCCAGTGCCCTTCCTGCCAACAGTATGCACATTGATTAGCCCCCAATTTTGTTGGTGGCCTTGTGGTCCCTCTGTGGGGGCCAGGGTCACTCACCCATGGCATCTTCCTTTCCCTCGGGCTACCTTGAGCATCTGGAGGGCCACAGCTAGCAGGGCGGTGTGCCTTTTCATCTTCTTTTCTTCTCTTTCATCCTCAGTTACATCCTGGTTATTGAACACCCCAAAGGCAGACTCGACTAGCTGTGCAGAACTAGCATCAGGACCTATAACCAACTCCTGGAGTTTCCTACAGGGTGTCTGGAGCACTATGAGATATGAAATAGCTATTTTTTTTTTTTTTATAATTTTATTTATTTATTTTTTCCCCAAAGCCCCAGTAGATAGTTGTATGTCATAGCTGCACATCCTTCTAGTTGCTGTATGTGGGACGCGGCCTCAGCATGGCCGGAGAAGCGGTGCATCCGTGCGCGCCCGGGATCCGAGCCAGGGCCGCCAGTAGCGGAGCGCGCGCATTTAACCGCTAAGCCACGGGGCTGGCCCTGAAATAGCTATTAAGAACCACTGTACTGGGGCTAGCCCCGTGGCGGCATAGCGGTTAAGTGGGTGCACTCTGCTGCGTGCAGCCCGGGGTTCGGATCCCGGGCGGTCACTGATGCACTGCTTGTCGGGCCATGCTGTGGCTGCGTGGCATATAAAGTGGAGGAAGATGGGCACAGATGTTAGCCCAGGGCCAGTCTTCCTCAGCAAAAAGAGGAGGATTGGCAACAGATGTTAGCTCAGGGCTGATCTTCCTCAAAAAAATAAAATAAAAATGTACTACCCTGGGCCTCAGGGTTTATGCCTGAGGCAGTCTTGCGGCCTCTGGAAAGCCGAGGGGTTTTTCTTGTTAGGCCTCTCAATTTCAGGTGCAGACTCTAAAAATGTACCCAAGGACATATTTCTTCCGGCTCCTGCCCCGTGTCCAGGTGGCAGCCAAGTGACTGGGCGCTGGGCTTCTTCTGCCACTGCTGCTCGTCATGGCTCCTGGGCCCAGCCAGCTGGGCAAAGCGCAGAGGTGCCCACCTGCCTTCAGGCCGCCCCTCCCGCCGCCACTGTTGCCATGATGGGGCAGGGAACACCAGGCGGCTCTGTTGTGCCTTCCACGCCATTTTCCCATCTGTGCCGCCTACACCATCACCATCCACGCTGCCGCCGCTACCGATAACTCTGGGGACATGCCCATTTCAGTCAAATCAACAAACTTACACAAACACACACAAGACAAACACACCCATACAAAGACAAAATCCAACTCCTGCAGGACAAAAACAACAGGTGAAGTCCAACAGTCCCCCACGTCTCTCCCAAACGAGGGTCCCGCCTTTCACATAGAAAGCAGATGGAGAGACAGAGATTGACGACCCTGAGTGTCCTATTGACTCACCGGACAAATGCAAATGTGACTCACCGGACAAATGCAAATGCAAATGCAAAACCGAGTCCTGCAGGACAAAAACAGAAGGCAAAGTCCAACAATTCCCTAGATCTCTCCCAAACGAGGGGCCCTCCTTTCACACAATGCAAATGGAGAGACAGAGAATTCACGACTGCAGGTGCCATGGCGACTCGGCCTACAGAGCAAAACCAAAAGTACTCACGTACAAGATACACGCATCCACACAAGGACAAAAAGTAGACCAAGGTCCACTGCGTTTCTCCACTCCAAGCCAGCGTTGGGCCGAGGGTGGCCGACACTGGTGGGAAGCGGGGAGCGGCAGGGGAAGTCCTTCCAGGCAAAGATGCCCGGGCAGCTGCTGGGGACCACCTACCACTCAAACTCCCACCAGGGCTGTCCAGCCATGGCCCGAGACTCCTGGCTTGCTCGCCAAAATTGATACCGAACCTCTTAATCTCAGGTTCCTGTGCCCGATGACCAGCAAGCCAAACACTGAGACATCGGTGCTTGGAGATGAGAAAGGTTTATTCGAATTGGTCAAAAGGAGTAGGGGGGGAGCCCAGGGTCGCTCAAATCCACCTCCTCTGGAACGGAAAGCAGAGGGGTTTTATAAGCTAAGAGACTTGGCAGGAGGGACTTCAGGGAAACAAACGAGTCACTTCCGATAAGCCTCTGGGCAATCTGACTTCTGGGCTTCAACAGCTGCTGAGGGCCGGCCATCCATCAGGTGATCAGCCATCTGGTGATAGCAACCTCCCCGAAGGCATTCTCTTTCTCCTGCAAAACAAGCTCGTAAATCCTTGAGACTGCTGAGTCACCCCTCAAGTTAATCAGGAAAAAACAGCAAATATCTACAGTACCCCTCAGATACCCGGCTTAATATCTCATACCCCAGATATTCAACCCCTTGTAGAGAGATTTGGGCCTTAGTGGGTGTGATGCGATAGCTGGGTTAGCCCAGGAAATTGAGTGTTAAAATAGTGTTAGCATCAGAAATTTCTCTAGTAGGACTACAAATTAAGATGTCATCTAGGGCCGGCTCCGTGGCTTAGCGGTTAAGTGTGCGCGCTCTGATGCTGGCGGCCCGGGTTCGGATCCCGGGAGCGCCCCGAGGCACCACTTCTCCGTCCAACGTGAGGCCGAGTCCCACGTACAGCAACTAGAAGGATGTGAACCTATGACATACAACTATCTCCTGGGGCTTTGGGGGGAAAAAACTGAATAAATAAAATCTTTAAAAAAAAAAAAAAAAAAGATGTCATCTACATGTTGTATTAACCAACTGTCTTTGAGATTTAAGTCTCATAAATATCTTCCCAATGCCAAGCCGAATAAGTGAGGGCTATCTCGAAATCCCTGAGGCAAAACAGTCCTGGTCAATTGGACAGGCAGGGCTTCGTTAGGAAATGCCATTTGAAAGCAAAAAGCAGTTGAGAGTTCTCTGCCATGGGAATGCAAAAGAAAGTATCTTTTAAATCCAAAACAGTAAACCATTGTGCACCATCAGGTATTGGAGAAAGAATAATGTACGGATTAGGTCCTGCGGGATGAGTGGGAACAATGGCCTCATTAACTATTTGCAAGTCATGAACCAAACGAGATATTCGCCATTGGGCTTTTTAACAGGCAAGATAGGAGTGTTATAGGGTGATTGACATCGCCAGAGAATCCTGTGTTCCGGAAATTTAGAAATCGGGCTGAAGTCCTTGTATAGCTTCAGGCCTCAGGGGGTACTGTTTAGCATGAGGAGCACAAGTTGGGTCTTTAAGAGTAATAGAAACAGGAGTGGCAGCGATGGTTCTTCCGGGAAGGGCACAATCCCGTACTTGGGGATCCACCTCCTTTAGTATACGGGCAGGAATACTGAGAGGCATTTGTTGACCTATGGATCCAACATGGAGTGCCACGAACAAGTTATTTTCTCCCTGCGTCAGTATGAACTGACTTCCCAGCTTGGTCATTAAATCTCAACCCAACCACGGGGTGGGGCAGGTAGGCAAAACAAGAAAGGAATGTGACAACACCTGATCTTGATATTTACAAGTCAGGGGATAAGCCTGAATACAACGTTTTGAGTCTCCGTCCATCCCCACAATCTTATGGGATGACTTACCAGCATAGGTGTTGGACCAGCATGGCAAACAGGGATAGAGTAAGTGGCTCCCGTATCAATAAGAAAATTGCTGTGCTCACCTTCCACATGCAGAGTAACCCGGGGCTCAGCCTATTGGATGTCAATGGGAGCCGGACTGGCCTCTGGGCCTTTTTAGGATGAATCCTCTGGATCGTTTCCTCGGGCGGGGAAATGGGTTCTTGGCCCCCTCTCACTCTGGAGACGAGGACAATCCCTCTTCCAATGTCTCTCCATTTTGCAATGAAGACATGGCCCTGGAGGCAGATCCTTCTTGAGGCGTTGCTTACCCCAGTGTCCCAGCTGTTGACATTTAGAAGAGGGGGACTTCTATAGACCCCTATCATTAAATTTGGCTTTGGACCCCGAATTAGTCTGTCTCTGTGGCAAATCTGCAATTGCGGCTGCTAAGACAAGAGTCTGTATCTTACCCGGGACCTTAGCCCTGCAGTCCTTATCTTGTTTGATAGCCAGGTCTCTGTTATTAAAAACCTGGGTGGCCACCTCTGTTGGCCGCTGGGTGGGGGTTAGTGGCCCTAGGGCCAACTTGGGTAATTGACTCCGAATGTCAGGAGCTGACTGATTGATAAAATGCATGTTTAAAATAGTGATGCCCGTTGGAGAGGCAGGGTCTAAGTTTGTGTATTTACGAATAGCTTCTGCTAGTCTTCCCTGAAACAGAGCACGGTTCTCATCTGCTCCTTGTGTAACTTCCTGAAGTTTTTCAAAATTCATAGGTTTAATAAATCCTTTTTTCATTCCTTCCATCAGGCATGTTATCAGATGATTTCTTTCTTCCCCTTCCTGCTCATCCCTATAATCTCAGCCAGGGTCTGTTTCCAGCACTGCTGTGCCCCCTACAGGATATCGATTTCGATCCCTAGCGTGGAGCTCATCAGCGAACTCTCGAGCCCCAGCCCAAATACGTCCTTTCTCATCTGTAGTACAGCATCGAGTCAGGACAATATATATCCTGCCAGGTTAACGCAAACATCATGACGAGCTGCTGAAAGCCATCGATGAATTTAGAGGGATTTTCGGAATAGCATCCTAACGGAGACTTTATCTGAGCCATGTCTGTCATAGAGAAAGGGGCGTGGACTTGAATGGTGCCCATGTCTCCATTAGCTACTTCCCAAAGGGGGAACTGACCAGAATTAGAGGATGCCCCACTGCAAGTGTGTCCTGCTGGACTTAAGGGGTCTTGTTGTTTCGAGCCCTCAGAGTAAGGAGGAGAGGTGGATGTGCTTTCTACATCAGGAGGGGCCTCCAGAGTTGTAGGTGGTGGCCTTGGAATCTGTCTGACCAGGCAGTCGTTGTCTAAGTTATCTGCAGTCTTGTCGGTCTTTTGGGGAGTAAACAAACACATTCGACAAACAGCCCAAAGGTCAGGGGCCTGGCTTAAAGCCATAAACGCCTGGACACATGGAATCTCAGACCATTTTCCCAAATGTCAGCAAAAGAGGTCCAGTTATAAAATGGTGAGTCCCAGCCCCAACGCTATGTAACCTTGAGCGAATTACTCCTCTAAATGGGGATAATAATAGTACCTACTTCATTGGTTTGTTGTGAGGATTAAACAAGATGATTACTTTAGAGCATTTAGAACAGCAACTGGCACACAGTAAACATCCGATAAGTTTTAGTTGTTACTATTATTAAGTCCAAATGTCATCATTTGCAAAATAGTACATCCTTTATAAAATTGTTGTGACTAGAACAATTGTGCACTATCTGGAACATAATATTGTTAAAAAATATTTATTTAATATGTAATTAAATGGGGTTATCAACCTTCAAAAACAGAAACCAGTTTAAGAGGTAAAGTATATTTTTGGGATCAAAGAATTACAATTTGGGAAGCACAGATTCAGGTAGAAACCCAAATAGTGTCCTAATTACAGGATGAAAAAGGAGGGTTTTTATGGGGAAAGGAAAGGGGTATTTACATGAGAAGAAGAGGAAAAAAAATCCTGACTTTGGGGGTGATTAGGTTACTAGGGCGGATCCCACACAAGTGAGATTAGTGCCCTTATACAAGAGATCCCGGAGAGTTTTCTTGCTCTTTCTGCCATATGAGGACACAGCAAGAAGACGGCCATCTATGAACCAGGCTCTTACCAGACACTGGATCTGCTGGCACCTTGATCTTGGACTTCTCAGCCTCCAGACTGTGAGAAAAAACGTTTGTTATGGGCCACTCAGTCTATGGTCTTTTTGTTATAGCAGCCCCGACAGACTAAAAGAGATAGCATTGTCTGCTTATAGTGAGATAGCCAACAGTGTGCTAAAAGAGAATTTTATTAAAAGAAAACCAATAGGTCTTAGGCATTCAGAACAAATCCAAAGACTTGCAACACCACAGAATGAGCATATCTACCCAGGCATAATGCTTTTGTAAAGCTGAGTCATCAGCAAGAAGTCTGTTCATTACTCCCTCCTGGCCAGTTCCTACTCAGTCAGTCACTCACTGACTCCCACCCCTACCTCCACAGTGCTGATTCACAGAGCTGTCACCATCAGGCATGATTTCCCTGGAGTCTGCTCACAATTCTCTATTCCCAGGTGGTCACTGGAGCAGACCTGATCCAGTGCCTTCTCCAAGCCTATCCAGATACTCAGCAGAACCTGCAGACTTGATGAGTGGAGAAGCCAGGAAGCTTTGAAGCCTTTGCCCTTATATTCATTGCAGGGACACAAGTAACATACATGGATGTTACTCCTAATAACCTCCTAATACTGTCACACTGGGGGTTAAGATTTCAACATGTAAATTTTGGGGGGGCATAAAATTTAGTCCATAATGGTATCATTTAGTGTGTTGAGCTCTTCAGTGGGTTTCCAGTGGGGCTTTAGCGAGCATCCATGTGATATCCTTTGTACTGGACAGCTGAGTTTCAGAATTCTTGGCCTACCTAGGAGAATCAAAACTGCTTGACCACCCATTTTCAGGGATGTTGCCATTTTATGCTCTAACTTTGAAATGCATATCAAGATCTGCCTGTGCTCCGGGGCTGGCAAATTGGAGCACAGCAGAGGGGTTGAGATAGAAAATAACTTTGGACAATCACAGTGTATTAGGTAGGATTTCTGTGTGGTTGCCTTAAGAGAACCAAAATAACCCTGGATTAAAACAAGATATTTATTTTTTCTCATATTGCAATCCAGAGGAAGAGGGTTTATGGCTGTTACAGTGGCTTTTATTCCTTATTTCTCATTCCTGTGCCATCCCCAGGAGGTTGCCCTTGTCTGCATAGCTGAAGAGGGCTCATCAAGTTCATATTCTATCCTTCAAGCAGGTGAAAAGAGGATGGAGAGGGACAGACGTGGAAATTGCACTCATCACATCTTCTCACATCCCACTGGCCAGAGACTAGTCATATGATCACACTTAGCTGCAAGGGATGCTGAGAAGTGTTATCTTTACCAGGGAAGTCATGTGACCAGCTAAAACCTCCATTATTAAAGAAGAAGAAAATAGATATGGGAGGAGCACTTAGCAATTGTGCCATAACTGGGCTTATTAAGCATAAAGGAGCTTACTAATGTCTCTTTATTAAACTTTTCTTTGGTCTCGGTGTTTGACAAAATCAGGCTAATCTTTACTTGCTACTGCTTCAGACAGCATCCCCCCCACATCATTAATCTGGTTACTTACAAATTTTTTATTGAACACCTACTTATTGGCCTATTTGAATAGTACCATTTTGTAGAGCTTATAGTGTAGCAGAGGAGATCGACAATAAACAAGTAAAATAACAAATAAATACCTAATTACAAGTGTTGATAAGGCTTATACAGGGATCAGGCCATTGTGGTAAAGAATAATGGAAAGCAAGGCTGGGAACCTGTTTTAGGGTTGGTGTCAGGAAAGCCTTGGAGGAGGTGACGTTTGAACTGAGACTTGGAGGATACAATGGAGATGGCCATGTGAAGGGGTAGGGGTGAAGGGGTAGGGGTAAAGCCACATACCAGCCGGTGGGCAATGAGGGCAATGAGACAGCCCTCATTCAAGAAGGCCTCAGTGAGAAAGCATTTGGTGCTCTTGAGGAATACATAGGCAGCCAGTGAGATTGGAGCACAGGAGGTACATATGAAGGAGGTGGTATAGCAGAGGGTGGCAGGACAAGGAGGGGCCAGACCATGCAGGTCCTTAGGCCACATGAAGAGTTTGGATTTCATTTTATACCAGTGGGAAGTCATGGGAGGGTTTGAAGCAGAAAATGGCATGATTTTATTAATGCTTTCAAAAGAACTTTCTAACTGCTGAGTGGAGAATTGATTGGATGACAGCAAGAGTAGAAGCCAGAAGATTAGAAGCATTTTTTAGAACCTAGATCAGAGATGATGGCCTCTTAGACTAGAGTGGTAACAATGGAGATGGGAAAAAGTGGTGGATGAATTTAAGAATTATCTGGAAAATTTCCATCAAGAATGGCTTAAAACCAGTTCTTTTAAGCATGAGTTTTAGAGTCTGCGCATATCCTTTAAAACCTATTTTTCCTCTAGGATGACTGAAAATCCTTAGCTAATGGTCAATTGAGGTTATGCTCTGCAGTATCACATTCGTTAATAATCTTTGGGTGGGGGGTGGAGGTGGAGGATGGGTGAAGCCTAACTTCTAGAGGAAAGAGCAAAGTCCTGTCTCCTTTCTTAATTCTATTGATAAAAGTGTTAAAACTGGGGAAATTTTTTTTACCCTCTCTCTTATGGAATCAAAAAGGCAGGAGAAATGTTCAAAACTTGCTTCTCAGATCAAATACTGACAACATAATAAAGGGTACAAAAATAGGGAAGATAATTAAGCCTTCATCTCTCAACAGTTGTTCATATCTTGTTTCTGAATAGGCATTTGCCCTTCTCCTCTGTCCTATCAGGTCAACAAATACATACTAGGTATCTGCTACATGTCCAGCCCTGGGGTCTTCCCACTGGAGATGAAGAAGTGGAAGAAGTTAAGTACTGGTTAAGTTCACATGCTCTGCTTCGGTGGCCCAGTGTTCACAGGTTCGGATCCCAGGCACAGACCTATGCACTGCTTATCCAGCCATGCTGTGGCAGGTGTCCTATATAAAGTAGAGGAAGATGGGCACGGATGTTAGCCCTGGGCCAATCTTCCTCAGCAAAAAGAGGAGGATTGGCAACAGATGTTAGCTCAGGGCTAATCTTCCTCACTGAAAAAAAAAAATTAAAAATTAAAAAAAAAAGAGACAGAAGGAGGGTTTGAGAGTTAGCAAGAAAATGAGGGTAGTAAGTCAAAGGAGAAGAAGGAAAGTTCAAGAAAGACTTGGAAATAAGCAGAACAAAGGCTCTGGTATGTACGAGGAGACCAAGAATAGTGAAATGGGCACTGTGGTCACACCGGTGACTTTCAACGTTGCGTCCCACGCAGAAAAGAGTGGCTCTGTCAGGAAAGGAGAGAGGAAGAGAGTTAGGAGAGCAAAAACAAAAAATATCAGCTGTCCAATGCAGCCACTAACACTTGACTTCTTCTAAACCTTGGTGGGAAAATTCTGGGCTTTGGAGTTATGCAACTATAGCCTTAAATCCAAGTGCTCTCAGTTCTTTATTTGACATGGATGAGCCTGATAGTTCTACATACTTTCACCACAAGTGTGTTTGCCTAGACATCATTACCACAAACATTTTCGTTGCAGAACTAATTGGCTGTAAGGCAATTTTGCTGTAAAAGAAAATCACAAAAAATGAAAGAGGGATGTTAATGAAACATGAAAAATGAATGACAAAATTAAAAAGACTTTATTGAGGGAGCCAGCCTGGTGGTGTAGTGGTGAGTTCACAGACTCCACTTCAGCGGCCTGGGGTTCTCAGGTTCGGATCTCAGCGCAGACATATGCACTGCTTATCAAGCCATGCTGTGGCAGGCGTCCCAAATATAAAGTAGAGGAAGACGGACACGGATGTTAGCCCAGGGCCAATCTTCCTCAGCAAAAAGAGGACAATTGGCAATGGATGTTAGCTCAGGGCTAATCTTCCTTACCAAAAAAAAAGACTATTGAGAAATACAAATATTTGAATACATTTAAAATGTTTGTATGCAGATTCATGGTGATACTGCACAAATAACTGATTTTATTTTATTTTATTGTGAAGTGTACCTAACTAAGCACTTGTCTTCATTCTGTGGGAAATGTGAATTCAACTCTGCACCCTCAAAGGAGAAACCCTTGGCTCTCTTTTTCTCCTTCAATGTAATGTGTTTGAAAATAAGAAACCAACTCCTGGGGCAACTCATCGTGTAATCTGTTGATAAAACCGTCAATAAAATGTTGCTAACTAGAGGAAATGCCAACTGTTTTAAGACCACTACCACCACGTCTACTCATCACTGTGTAGATCATTATGAGGGCCAACTAAGATTTATATCATAGAAAAAGGGGAGTAAATGTGAGAAGTTCATCAATGAAGAAATGAAACCAAACTGACAAAGACAAAACAAAACTATCAATCAGTAATTTTTTAATCTTTTACAGTGGTTGACTCATCCATGAAGAAAAGAAATGGAAAAAAAAAAAAAACTGTCAATGAGTTATTTATTTATCTTTTAAGACAAAATCCTCTTATGGCCAATTAGTTGTATGGCAAAAACACTTGCAGCAAAGATGTATACAGTAAAAACACTATGTTACCGAACCAGGTTGGTTTTGCCCGCCCCATGATTATGCCAATCATGGAGATGATGAGTTTGCAAAGAGAAAGGATTTAATCACAAGGCGGCCAAGTGAGGAGGCAGGAGAATCAACCTCTGATTCACCTCCTCGAAAATGAGGACTCAGGGATATTTATGAGATACAGGGGCTGGGCAGTCTGAAGTGTAGGAATAGATGATTGGAGATCGGAGAAGTGAGGTAACTGATGATCTGAAGAACCATAGTCAAGCTTCATGCCTCTTCGTAGGACGCATGTTCACAAAATGGTGGCATAGGCATGATCTGAGGGTGGGGTTTTTAGCCCCCTGACGTCAGGAGTTCACCTATCGGGCGCCCGTGCAGGCCCAGTTGGTGGGTTGGTGGTCTCGATTGGCCTGAACCGGACAGATGGTCAATTCCTAATTCCTGGAAAACAACTCAGACATCTGTTACCATGGTGACCCAGGCACCAGGGATGTTATCTAAGGAACCTGGTGGGGTTGGGCCACATATTGCCTAAGCAGCACAGCTAACCATGGGCGGATAAACGGCTAAAGGCTACAATTCATAACTGCCAAAAAACACTTTAGTTACTAGCTACCTAATCATTAATGGCTAACGGTCTACCAGTTTCAAGCACCTCATTTGTTCCAGTCACTGGGCTATCACAAAGGTGATTAAGACCCAGTACCTGCCATCCAGTGGGGAGACAGATAAGAAAATTAGCAGCTAGAGCACAAAGGAGATCCTGGGTGAGAGGGCAATGGAGGAGAGCTACCTGCTGAGAAGGTAGCTCAGCCTTGGGGAGGAAAGTCATTCCACTGGGCTCAAGATGTCCCCAAATTTTAGAAGCATTGAAATGAGAAAAAAAATGCGTGTTTTGTCGTTTGAAGAAATATGACCTAGAGTCCGTCCTGGTAGATGGTAATAACAAAGATGCATAATTTTAAGACGTGGGATTTGCTTCAGATTGAGTGACATTTAGCACCTAGTTAGATTTTTGTTCATTTCTTTTTTTCCCCCTTGCCAGGCCAGTCCACTAGACATTGGGACCATGTAATACACATGAGGGGGAAAGAAGCTGTATTATTGAGAATAAAGAAAAACCAAAGAGGGCCAGCCCCGTGGCTTAGCGGTTAAGTGCATGCGCTCCGCTGCTGGCAGCCCGGGTTCGGATCCCGGGCGTGCCCCGATGCACCGCTTCTCTGGCCACGCTGAGGCCGCGTCCCACATACAGCAACTAGAAGGATGTGCAACTATGACACACAACTATCTACTGGGGCTTTGGGGGGAAAATAAATAAATAAATAAAATTAAAAAAAAAAAAAGAAAAAATACTTTAAAAAAAAAAGAAAAACCAAAGAGTGTGCATGTGGCCTTGAAAGAAACGAAGTACCCAGAGATCACTGAAGGAAAATGAGGATTTGGGAATTGGAGACAGAAGTAATAAGCCAGCAACCTGGCATTACTGGAAAGTCACCAGTCTCCAGGAGTCTGGGGTCGCAGGATTGTGACTAGAATCTAGCAATTCTCAATTATAAATACAGTTATTTGGAAATTAGGAAATTTGTCTGGAAAATAGTTCAGAAAATTTACATAGCAATAGAAGCTGCCACTGTAGTCATTAAAAAAAGATATTTTCACAGTATAATTGCCAAAGATATTATATAACAACACGGCTATGCCTTCTCCACCAAGTTTAAAACTGGGTTTGTTAAAAGTGCATGAGAGTGTTCTGGCTAATAAATGAAGAAATGAGAGAAATAAAATATCATCATTTAGTAACCCCTAATGAATTAATGGGTGTAGCCAGTGGTCATCAATGGCTACTAATTTCACAGCAAGTCAAGTTACCATTAAGTGCCTTCTGATGGAAGTACAAAACACCATCTATAAGGATGCCTTGCCAAAACAACCAACCAACCAAAAAAATTCCAGCCTGAATCTGATCAAGCCTCTGTATTTAGCTACCAACTTATAGGAACTATATGGTTCAGAGGAATGCACTGTGGGGAGGCAATCAACAAGATCTAGGCTATGAGAATCTGCAAGATAAATGACCTACTTTCTTTAACAAATCAATTGTAAGAACAAAATTGGAGGGCGCACATATAGACCTGTGCTGTCCAATATAGTAGCCAGTAACCACATGTGGCTATATAGAGTTAAATTGGCTAGAGTTCAATAAAATTAGAAATGCATTTCCTCAGTTGCACTAGTCTCATTGCAGGTGCAGTATCAGAAAGTTCTATTGGACAGCGCTAATACAGACAAAGAGGTGTGGAATTTGTTTGCATTGCATAGACCTTATTTGGATCCTAATTTAAGAAAATAGACTTTACAATGTTAAACAAATAGAGAGATTTGGACTGACTGGGTATTTGATGATACTAAAGAATGGTTAAAAAAAGTTAGGTGTGATTATGATATTGTGATTTTGTTTTTTAAAAAAGAGTGTCCTTATAGGTAAGAGGTACGTACTGAAATAGTTACAGATGAAATGAAATGCTGTCTTACATTTGCATTTAAATAAATCGGCTATGACTATTTTGATTATTGTTGAAACTGGGTGATAGGTACAGGGAGGTTCATTAAAACAGTTCTCTTTGCTTTTGTATAGGTTGCTGCTTTCCAAAATAAAATGGTTCCCATTTACATATGTTTGAAACTTTCCATAATAACACTTTTTTTTTAAGCCATAGGCAGCTAGTTGCCTAATAAGACTAGCTGGATATTTGCTAATTTGCACGTCTTTAGCAGCAACACTCAAAGCATTTCTCTCTTCTTAATGGCTCAATACACCAAGAACACAGGCCAGTCAGTGCCCTCTTTAAAAGATGTTATATAGACTCTCCTCTTTCCCCACCTCTCTTTACCTGGAGAACAAAAAGAGGAGAAGTGTTAAGAGTCAAAAAGTGTGCATTCTCTCCACTCGTCTCCCAGCATGTGATAAGAGAGATCCCAGGGACTTTTTGGGATCTTGGGCCAACAAGAAGTCAGGAGACAGGTGTCCTTTATAGAATATCAGGGTAGGCGTGGTTGGTGAAGTTGTGCCATCTTTGGGTGGCTTACTCAAAGTTGCATTCCTCCATTTGAGTATAGTTGTAACGTATGATTCGGTAGGCAGATGCCTAGAGTACTGGTCCCAGCCATCTGAATCTCCATCTATGGTGGGAGTAAGAATGGGGGTTCTTAATTCCCATTTGTCTGTAAGGCTTCCTCACCCAACTGTCTTATATTCTGCATCCCCCAGCTAGACTGATGGGTTTTGCGTGATATTATGTGTTTCTGTAAATGAAAAAAATATTACTGCAACACAAATAAAATTTTATTCACAACAATCCATTCTTGCAAAAGTATTTCCGCAGCACTCCTGAAATAAAGTGTTGTGAGAACTAAGGAGAGGAGAAGGCTTCTGCTAAGTTGAAGATCACTTTCCAAACCCCTTTCCATCTCACCCTATTTGGTCCCTGTTGATGGCTTTGCTTTCCTTTCTTTCAAGAGGAACTCATCGTTGGGACATCTTTGCATAGCCCCCCATCCAGGAAGAAGTTCTGTGATGTGTGGATTGTGAGTTTGCTCAAGCAAACCGGACTCTTCACAAGGAATAACTAGACACGAGGACTAGGATGGAAGACCCGGCACCAGTGGAAGGCCAGGGCCAGTTCCCAAGCCCCCACCAGGGCTCTCTGAGGAAGGCCGTGGCTGCTGCCCTGGCCCTGGATGGGGAGTCCACAATGGGTCGCAGGAAAAAGAAGAAGAAAGAGTCTCGCCCACAATCTATCATCATCTACCGGTCAGAGAATGAGAAGCTGACTGAGGATCCCGGGGAATCAGAAGGTGGAGACCCGCCCAAAGAGGAGGAGGGAGACGATTTCCTAGACTATCCTGCGGATGATGGTAAGTCTCTCTGGGGCAACTTGCTTAAAGCCCTGGGAAGCAAACCAAATGAGGATCCTCCAGGAGACAGACAGGCATTTGCCCACTGACCTATTTCTTCTTGTTGATCCATTTTTTTCACACGATGTTGCAGTCTTCATTCAACAAATTGACAATATTTATTAAGCATTTATTATGTTCTTTTCTAGGTGATATAGGGGAGATCTCTGCCCTTTTGGAAACCCTAGTGTAATGGAAGAGACCAATTTATACACAAAAATTAGTAATACAAGCAGACTATGCTGATTACTTAATACTTGTAAGATAAAGAAACAATAGTTGACTTTCATAATAATCAGGAAAATACAAAAGATAACAATGACTTATAGTACTCTTTCACATGTAGGATGGCCAAAAATTGGATAAAATATGACAACATCAATGTGAAGAAATAAATATACTCTCATACACCTCAAGAGGAAATGGAATCTGCTTTAGCCACTTTGTAGAGAAATTTGTCAATATATGTTAAATTCAAAATTCAAAATATGCATACCTCACGTCCCAGAAATTCTGAGTATCTGCCCCATGAAACTTATGTGCAACTTGCCCATGTGCAAAAGGAGGCATGTATAAGAATGTTTGTTGGGGCCGGCCCCGTGGCGTAGCGGCTAAGTGGCGTGCGCGCCACTGCTGGCGGCCAGGGTTCAGATCCCAGGTGCGCACCGACGCACCGCTTGTCAGGCCATGCTGTGGTGGCGTCCCATATAAAAGTGGAGGAAGATGGGTGCGGATGTTAGCCCAGGGCCAGTCTTCCTCAGAAAAAAGAGGAAGATTGGCATGGATGTTAGCTCAGGGCTGATCTTCCTCACAAAAAAAAAAAAGAGGATCAATTTGTGCAGATCTATAGATCTCTAAGACATACACCCACAGTGGACGAGACAATTAATGTCCCTGCTCTCATGCAGTTTGCCTTCTACTCAAGGGAAGACAGAGGGTGAACAAGTCAGGAAATAAAAGATAATTTCAGGTGGTGATATGAGTTCCAAAGACAATAAACCACAGTAATGGGAAGGTGAGCAAGTGGTGGAGGACAGTGGGGGGAGAGATTGCCTGATTCAAGGCCTCTCGAGGAAGCAACGTTTGAGCTGATCTGAATGGTAGGAAGGAGCCAGCCCTGAAAAGATCTCAGGCAGGGCTTTATGAGGAGGGGAGCAGATGGGCAAAGACCCTAAGGTGGGAGCACCATGGCCCATTTCTGGAATGGGGTTATTTCTGTGTTGAGAGTGTAAAGAACCAGGGGGAGGATGGTGGGAGGAGGTCAGAAAGATAGGCAGAGCTGGACCGTGTTGGCCTTGCAGGTCATAGTAAAGAGTCTGGAATTTGTTGTAAGCACAAGAGGAAGTCAATGAAGGACTTTTAAGAAAGGAGAGACATCATCTCATTTATATTTTTAAACAGTCATCTGGCTTCTCTATAAAGAATGGCTTACAAGGGTAAGAGTGGAGGGCTGGCCCTGTGGCTTAGCGGTTAAGTGTGCACGCTCCACTGCTGGCGGCCCGGGTTCGGATCCCGGGCACGCACCGAGGCACTGCTTCTCCGGCCATGCTGAGGCCGCGTCCCACGTACAGCAACTGGAAGGATGTGCAGCTATGACATACAACTATCTGCTGGGGCTTTGGGGGAAAAAATAAATAAATAAAATTAAAAAAAAAAAAAAAAAAACAAGGGTAAGAGTGGAAGCCGATGGGAAGCTGTTGTCCCACTGCAGCCACACTAGCACTAATGTAGAATCCTGGGCTAGGGTGACAGCAGGAGAGATAACTAGAGGAGAGAGGCTGGGCTCATAATGCAATTTGCAACTTGCTGATGGATCGGAGGCAGGGAGTGAGGGAAAGAGAGGAGTCAACAGTGACTCCTGGGGTTTTGACAAGAACAACAGAGAGCATAGATGGTGGTATCATTTATTGAGATGAGGGAGACTGTGAAACCGTTAGGGTTTGGGGGAACAGTCCAACCTTTCTATCTGGGCAATCACAGTCCCTGCCGTTATCCTGGGCCATGCTCTTTAGGTGGCTCCATTTTATCCCTCTTCCAGCCATGGGGCAAGGAGTCCAATGGGGTCCAGGGGACATGCCAACCTAAAGCCTGTACTCTCCCCAACCCCTCCACTTCTAGACTGCATTTCACACACCAAGGACCACGGACTTCCCCATTTCAGTATCTCCAACCTCACTTCCAGAGTGGCCAAGGATGGCTGTTTGGTGGTTGGTGGTGGTGGTGGTGGGGTTCGTGTGTGTGCGTGTGTGTGTGTGTGTGTGTGTGTACAGAGCTTGGATACGAGGGCTGGGATGTCCACAGGCATGTGAGGAGGCCTCCTCTCAGGGAAGCATAGAGATAGGAATGAGGAGGGAAGTGAGTAGGCTGCCCACAGTATAATACACACGTAGTACAATCTTTGCCACTATAAAGTGGTGTCTGTAGTAAAGTTCCTCACACCCCTCAATATCACAGAGATAGTGACAAGATTAAGGCCCAGAAAAGTGAAGAGAGAACATGGAAAACAAGTTTAATCTGTTTTATAATTTTATCAGTGTGGACTGAGAGTTCACTGCAGGAATAACACCACCAGTGGTCACCCTCCTGAGGGAGACCCATTCAGTCCATCACTGAATCACTGACTCCAGTACCACACCAGCTGCTATAAAAGTGGACACTCAGGGGCTGGCCTCGTGGCCTAGTGGTTAAGTTCGCACACTCCACTTCAGTGGCCTGGGGCTCGTGGGTTTGGATCCTGGGCATGGACCTATGCACTGCTTGTCAAGCCATGCTGTGGCAGGTGTCCCACATATAAAATAGAGGAAGATGGGTACAGATGTTAGCTCAGGGCTAATCTTCCTCACCTAAAAAAAAAAAAAGGACACTCATACTCAGCCCAGCCTCTGGACAACACTGTGATGAAATGTCCACTCTTCTGATCTTGACTTTTACCTCCTTTATGCCCTGCAGGTATGTGGAATATGCCTTTGGACAGCCGTTATGTCACATTAACTGGGACCATCACGCGAGGGAAGAAGAAAGGTCACATGGTGGACATCCACGTCACGTTGACAGAGAAGGAGCTACAGGAACTGACCAAGCCTAAAGAGTCATCAACAGAAACAACACTTGAAGGCAGAAAGGCCTGCCAGATGGCAGCAGACCGTGGGCCCCACGTGGTCCTCTGGACGCTGTTCTGCCTGCCTGTCATTTTCATCCTCTCTTTCGTGGTCTCTTTTTACTACGGCACTATCACCTGGTACAACATCTTCCTTGTGTACAATGAGGAGAGGACCTTCTGGCACAAGATCTCGTGTTGCCCCTGCCTCATTCTGTTCTATCCAGTGCTCATCATGGCCATGGCCTCTTCCCTGGGCCTCTATGCTGCTGTGGTCCAGCTCTCTTGGTCCTGGGGAGCATGGTGGCAATCTGCCCGGGACATGGAGAAGGGCTTCTGTGGCTGGCTCTGCAGCAAGCTGGGTCTGGAGGACTGTTCTCCCTACAGCATTGTGGAGTTGCTTGAATCTGACAATATCTCAGGGAGTCTTTCCAACAAGGACCCCACCCAAGAAGTAGAAACTTCCACTGTCTAAACTCCCAACAACTACTTCCTTCTCTAGTCACAGTAGCCTGTATATAGTCTTCCAATTCCAGAAGATTTTTTCTTTAAATTGTCACCTCCCCCACACAGTTCATCTGGAAAATTCTAGCCCATACTGATCTGTCTTACCATGTTGATGGTTCTAGGAGGGCAAGGAACAGCAGAGCAATTTGTGCCAAAGCAGTCCATCTGATGGACAAACTCTTCTTCATTCTCTGACCTAAAATGACCATTTATCTGGGACAGGGAGCTCAGTTGTCTATCAATTCAGGAAGTTGAAGGGGTTACTGGTGCCTGGAACCCAGGGGAGTATGTGACTAAATGTGACAGGGAGAATAAGGAGGCTCTGGGGAGACCAGTAAGATAATAGATAGGGATAGAGTGAAACATTTAGGAAGCAGGGCTACCATAGTGTATCAGAATGTAAAGATTTGTGTGTATCACTTAGATTTTGATTTAGCATATAATTAAAATCCTAAAATATCAGTGGTTTAAACAAGATAGAAGTCTCTTTCTCCTATAGAAGAAGTCTGGAGGCAGACCATCAGGGGACCCAATGAAGTTACTGGGGTCCCAGGCTTCTTTTATTCCCCTACCATTAGTAGGATGTGGCTCTCATTGCCCTTATCCTCAGCACTCCAGTGCTGACTACATCTCCAGCCATCACATCCATGTTTCTGGCAGAAAAGAGGAAAGGGCAAAGAAGAGCACACCCTCCCTGTTTAAGAAGACTTCCCAGAAGTCCCACTCAACACTTCTTATATCTCATGGGCCAGACCTTAGTCACATGACCTCATAAGCATAAGAGGCTGGGAAATGTAGTCTTTGGCTGGGCAGCTGTATTCTAGGCTAAATATCGGGGTTATGCTAATTTAAAAGAAAGGGGAAGAATGGCTATTTTGGCAGGCAAGTAAGAATCTCCACCTCACAGTAAGTATTTAAACACATTCAGGTACTAAACTGTGAATATAGCTTTGTTTATTTATTTATTTAGGCCTGAATCTTACACAGAGAATTTATACATAGATACTAGCTACATATACTATGTATATGCTGTACATAGATATTAGCAACTCATGTACTTTGCAATTAAATGTCCGTAATGTCATGGGGTTTCAGGTTTTTTAGAAAGGAAGAGTGAAGGGTTGAATACAATTATATAATAGTAGTATAACTGTTTTCCTGATAGTGAAGGTGGGACTGGGTGGTGATATTCAATCTAATCTACAGATTAAAGACTGTGAATTGCATCTGTCAAACTTCCCCCCAGCAGGGATCAGTAGCCCTAAGCACAAAGAAGACAGAGTTAGCTTTCTGTTTGGCAAAATCTCACTCAGAGCCTCACTCACTCGACCTTTCTGGAGTTTAATGAACAAACACCATCGTTGCCATTCTGAGAAGCTTGTGTCTTCCTGGCCACTAGGGGGGTGTAAACCAGATGAATCCAGATTAACAGATTCTGAACTTTTTATTTTTTAATTCATTCCTGAGGGTGTCTTCCTAATTTCAAAAAAAATCAAATCCTAAGTGGTCAGGAGGTTTGGGTCCTTACAAGAATAGCTTGTGCCCATTTCTCGTTCATGTCTCAGGAAGAAGTTGTTGAAAGAACTTCCGAATCAAACCAAATGGGCCAGGCACACTCTCCCACAGAAGGTCAAGGATATTTGCTTAATGTATGGTGCTGAACTCCACAGAGGAACCCCTCTCCCCCTTTGTTAAATAACTATTATTAGTTTGACAAAAAACAACAACTCTGCCCAGCATTTTTGAAGATAATCTTGGTGCTCTCTGGTGCTTTTGCAGAGACATAAACAGTTAAAGACAAAGAAAATAAAAATAAAATCTGATTAACATTTGCTCACTTTTTCTTCGAGTTTCTCCAAAATTGCTTTGAATGCTACAGTTTGCAGAGACAGGGTGAGCGTGGTGGCTGTCCTGTATATGTATAGTGATCTTAATATAGATCATTATGTCTAGACTCTTTCCATGTACTGCTAATTTATGGGGATTCCATTTAGGTGGATTGTTTCCACAGATCACATATTTACCTGAGCCTACATTGGGAAGTTGCAACCACATTTGTCACACGTTTCTGGGGCTAGGGAAACCAATGGCCAAGGCCAAAAATAGTCATGATTAGGACAAGGTGAGGTGGCGATGGGGCAATAGAGGAAGGCAGGGTGAGGGTAAGGCCCAAGGGATAGCTAGAGGAAGTTGACATGGCCTTCACCCTAGTTGGGTTCGCCACCTAGTGGAAGAAATAGGCTTGTAAACTAAAATCATGTTAAAAGGGCTCTAAGAGAGTTATGTGAAAGCTTAGACTAGAGGAAGGAAAACTGAACCAAACAGAACTAAAGTGATCTCATCTTTGCTCTCAGCAAACACCTAGAGAACCTTAGAAGAGAAATTGGAGAGTTACGTACCGTACTTGAACATCCTATTAGCTCCTAGTTTCCTGATCTTCATGGTGAATATCAAGGAGGAAGACTCTGTTTTCCAATTACTTTGCAGCCATAATATACTGAGCTGGATAATCCATCTCTGATCCAGAGCAATGATATTGATGTTTTAAAGGCATCTTGTCTATCGACATTAGGAAGCACCCTTCCTTTCAGTTCAAGTACAAGAGGAATAAAACCCCTGTTCTCCATGGTTTACAATAAAACAAGATTCTAAATCTTAAAGTTTCATTGCGCCATTTTGGGATGGCCACCCAGGGCTCAAGTTTTGCAGAGTTGCAAAAGATTAGTGGCCAACATCAAAAGTTTTCTCTTCCTCGACTAATTTAATTACTAACATAAGCCTTTTACATGGATTTTTTAATGGTATTTTAAAAGAGTACATGTTATAGAGAACACGGCACATCACTACTCACATCTTTCTGAGATGTAAACATTTACCCTTAAGATTTTTAACTAATTTTCTCAAATGCCCATATAACCATTGTTACAGATTTCTGTCAGAAGATAAAGCCTGAACATTTTTATTTCGTACAATGCCCATGAATTCATCACTTATGTTGCTCACTCTCAGAGTGATTCAAACTCAAACACATTTTAGCAACTTACATTGTAATTTTAAAATAAATCAAATTCTTTTTTTTTTTTTTTTTGTGAGGAAGATTAGCCCTGAGCTAACATCTGTTGCCAATCCTCCTCTTTTTGCTGAGGAAGATTGGCCGTGGGCTAATATCTGTGCCCATCTTCCTTTACTTTTTTTTTTTTTTTATATGTGGGACACCTGCCACAGCATGGCTTGATAAGTGGTGTGTAGGTCCGTGCCCGGGATCCAAACCTGCAAACCCTGGGCCACTGAAGCAAACTGTGTGAACTTAACCACTACGCCACCAGGCCAGCCCCTAAATCAAAACCTTTACTTGCCTTTATTAACCACCCTGAAGGGGATGCCTAGTCCACACTACAGCAATAGTTTAAAATATCCCTATTATTTCAATTCTCTCTTGCTGTGTAACACTTAAAACTTAATGGCTTAGGGGCTGGCCGGGTGGCGCAAGCGGTTAAGTGCGCATGCTCCACTGTGGCGGCCCGGGGTTTGCCAGTTCATATCCCGGGTGCGCACCAATGCACCGCTTGTCAAGCCATGCTGTGGCGGCGTCCCATATAAAGTGGAGGAAGATGGGCATGGATGCTAGCCCAGGGCCAGTCTTCCTCAGCAAAAAGAGGAGGATTGGCAGATGTTAGCTCAGGGCCGATCTTCCTCAAAAAAAAAAACAACTTAATGGCTTAATATAATAACCATTTGATTTATTTGCTCACAATTCTGCAATTTGGGCAGAGCTTGGTGGAGACAACTGGTCTCTACTCAATGTCTCTAATACTGGGGTAGCTCACTCAGGGCTGGAGGATTTACTGCAAAGATGGCCTCACTGGCATGGCTGCCAAATTGGTGCTGGCTGTCATCTAGGTGGGCCCCTGGGGATGTTGTGTCAGTGCTTATATTAGTTTGCTCAGGCTGCCATAACAAAATATCAAAGACTAGGGGGCTTAAACAACAGAAATTTATTTTCTCACAGTTCTGGAGGCTGGAAGTCCGAGATTAGGGTGCCCACATGGTTGGGTTGAGCATGATGAGAGCTCTCCCCTTGGGTTGCAGACAGCAGCCTTCTCTCTCTGTATTCATCTGACCTCTTCTTTGTACAAAAGGCAGGAGTACACAAGTGCTAGCTCACAAGCTCTCTGCTGTCTCTTCTTATAATGACACTAATCCCATCATGAAGCCCCACCTTCATGACCTCATCTAACTCTAATTACCACCCAAAGGCCCCATCTCCAACTATCACCGCATTGGGGGTTAGGGCTTTAACATATGAATTTGGAGCGGGAGGAGACAAACACTCAGCCCCTCACAGTGCTCCTCCACATGGCCTCCCCATGTGGCTAGGTTGGGCTTTCATAGCATGGCAGTCTTATGGTAGTCAGTCCTTATACATGGTGTCTGGCTGCCATCTGGCAAAAAGCAAATCTGCCAGGCATTCTGAAGGCTTTGGCCCAGAACTGGTCCAGTGTCACTTCTGTCACATTGTACTGGTGAAAGCAGGTCTGAAGGCCAGCCCAGATTCAACAGGAAAGGACTATAAAGGGTGTGCATGCTGGGAGGCATGGCTCACAGGGCCACCAAAATAACGGTGTCATTCTCCTTTTCTTGTCCCATCCATTTCCCTCTTATGCCACAGTGGCTCCCACACATCGCTCTCTCTGTCCAAAATGCTCCTTCTCCCCGTCTGGCCATGACCCAGTAACCTTTGTCTTCTCTTTACATCCAATTCTGTATCACACAAATCCAAACAGATCTTGAACTGACAGGGAGAAATAGAACCAACAAAGGCAGAATCTTTTTGTTGCGGAGGAGGAAACGAGTAGGCATATACACTCTCAGATTACTAATGTTTGCCCCTCCACTCTCGATTATTGGAGGCCTTTGCCAGGGGAAACAGTGCTTCAAGTCCATCTCCATTCTCAGCACCACAGCTGCCAAGCTGCCTGGAAGTGGATGATTCTAAAGACTCCTATAAGGATGGTTGAGATGCAGACAAGCACAGGTACTAGAACCTCCTTTATCTCTCCCAGGAAACAAACTTGACCTGGAAGGTGTGTGGGTGCGACAAAGAGAAAGATGAAGGGGGAGAGAAAAGAGACAGAAAGGAGAGAGAGGAAGAGAAAAAAGAGAAAAAGAGACTACACACAAGATAATATTATGGACATCTAAAAAAAGGGCATGTAAATTTCCTTGACTATGGTGAGTCTCCAGTAATTCTATTTACCCGTCATATAATAAATACTTAAAAAATAACATTTCAGCTTGAAAAGAACTCGAATTCGAGCTTGAAGAACCTCCTGGGCTCTGCGAGCACAGTTCGAAAATGTCTGATTCTCCTGGCTACAGCGTATTTATACCTTCGGCTTCCTCCAGGCCCCTCCCTCCTCATGGGCTCTCCACATCTTTCCAGCTTTAGTTTCTGCTTTTCCCAGGTCCAATTTTCAAAAGGGAGAGAATCTGATTGGATCTGATTTTCCAGTTTGGATAGAGGTTTGCAGACACTTTGCAGGTTGCCGGATCCTTTGTCCAATCACCTGTCAGCTTGTGGGTCATTCGGCACAGAAAATAGCTGTTTCTGTGCAAGGTTCAGCGTGGGCCTGCCTCCCTCAAAGGGGCAGGGGCTGCAGG